CCCTGGAGCTGCTGGTCTCAGGTGAGAAAGTCTGACTGTTGCCCCATCCGTGTTTTGAGGCACCAAACAGGTAACGGGGACTCTGCTCCCAGGGGAGCCCCAATGAGAGGGTGGGTGAGGGGACCACGGGGACTCGCAGGTCAGTGTCACTGACGGTGATGGATGGTGAGACTCGTGGATCAGGACGGGAGAAGGGAGGTTTGGGGAGAAGCAGCCCCTGCCTTCCACAGCTGGTCTCTCCCAGGTGTGTCGGAGAAGCCCTCCCTCCTGACCCAGCAGGACCCTGTCGTGACCTCTGGACAGAGGCTGACCCTCCAGTGTCACTCTGATGTCGGCTACAACAGATTCGCTCTGTCCAAGGAGGGGGCACCTGACCTTCCACGGCGGCTTGGCCGGCAGACCCAGCCTGGGCTCTCCAGGGCAAACTTCTACCTGGGCCTGGTGAGACCCTCCCACGGGGGCCGGTACACGTGCTACGGTGGACATAACCTCTCCTCCGAGTGGTCGGCCCCCAGTGACCCCCTGGACATCCTGCTCGCAGGTGAGGTCTCACGGTGTCAGTCAGGACTCCAGACTCTGCACAGGTCCTGCCAGGGGAGCCCCAGGTAGTGGTGGCTGAGACCAGGAGTGTGGGGTCCCCAGGAAGAAAGAGACAGAGAGAGACGGGGGATAAGAAGGGACAGACTCGGAGGACAGAGACACACTCAGTTCAGATCAAGGGCTGGACAGCCCCTCACCCGCCCTTCCTCTCTCTAGGACAGCTGCCCTACACACCCTCCCTCTCGGTGCAGCCGGGACCCACGGTCGCCCCAGGAGAGAATGTGACCCTGCTGTGTCAGTCACAGAGCTCTGTGGACACTTTCCTTCTGTCCAAGGAGGGGGCAGCCGATCCCCCCTTGCGTCTTCGATCACAGTACCAAGCTGGGCAGCACCAGGCTGAATTCCCCATGAGTCCTGTGACCTCAGCCCACGGGGGGACCTACAGGTGCTACGGCTCCACCAGCACCTCCCCCTACCTGTTGTCCCAGCCCAGTGACCCCCTGGAGCTCCTGGTCTCAGGTGAGAGTCGCTGACCCTGTCCCCTCTGTGTCCCAACATTGTCTTCAGGGCCCTGGGACCAGGAGGGCTCTGGTCTAGGATTGGAGTGAGGGGCTCCAAGGGAGTGTCCGCAGAGGGGTCCAACCCTCATGGTGCAGGAGGGAAACGGGTCCTCCCACGCTTGCCTGTCCCTCGCCCCAGCCCCAGTATTCTCCTGGGAGAGGAGGAGCTTGGGGATCAGGGCACATGAGGAGGAAGAGTGTGAGCAGAGACAGGGTCTCAGGGCAAGCTCCAGCCCCTCCACACTCCTGTCTTTTCCCCAGGACCCTCTATGGACCCCGGCCCCCCAACCACGGGCCCCCGGACCACAGGGCCAGGCTCAGCAGATGGTGAGTCACAGGGGCTGCTCTCCAGAGACTTTTCTTCTAGGCTCTCAGAGATGCCAGGGGGACGATGGGGCTCCAGGAACTCTGAGGCTGGTGGAGGGGGGCTGGGGTGGTCATGGCAGGGGGAGGGGGAGGGGCCCAGTGGGGGAGGAGCAGTCAGGTGCAGTGCGGAGCCCGGCAGGCCCGGCGCCTCACCCTTGCTGACCCCAGAGGCTCTGAGGGTGAGTGAGGGTCTCTGTCCGCCTTGGTGGGTGGGTCCATGGGGAGCGGGGTCTGAGCTGTACCGTCAGTTCAGGGTCCTCCGGAGGCGCTGGCTGGCACATGCCCCTCCCTGTGTGGGCCTCAGTTTCCCCAACTGTAAAGGAGAGAGTCGTGGACAGAGTAGATTTCCCATCAGACCATGGCTCTGATCCTGGGAGAGGAGGGCTCACGGGGAAGCCCCCCCAGGTCGTGACCTATGGGGAGTTCTGTCCCTTTGCAGCAATGACAGTGACATTGTAGGGGGAGGGGAGGGAGGACAATGGCTGGGGGCATTCAGGTAATAAGGGGAATCTGGAAGGACCCTCAGCTCCAGAAGAAGATGCTGAGACAGGCCGGGCCCCATATGAGGAGCCCAGAGCCCTGAGCTGGTGTCTGCACAGGGGACAGCATGAGGAGAACACAGGGAACCCACAGCCCTGGTTTCAGTCTCAGCCCTGCTGCCTCCAGGCTGGGTGACCTGAGACATGTGCATGACCTCTCTGTGCCTCAGTTTTCTGTCTGTGGAGTGGGCAGGAGGGGCAGCAGTCATCTGCTGGGTGATCATTGACAGGGTCAGAGCTGAGTGCACAGAGCTGAGCAGGTGCCTGGCACACAGTAGGTGCTCAATTAAATGGCATCACTGGTTCATTCATGGTGTTGCTCCTGCACAAGGTCCCCACTGGTACCTGTACGTCCTCATCACGGCCTCAGTGGCCTTCGTCCTGCTGCTCAGCCTTCTCGTCCTCCTCCTAGTTCACCACCAGCGTCGGGTCAAAGGCAGGAAGCCGGGTGAGAAGGGAAGGAGGTGACATGTCCCAGGGGGTGGTGGCTGCCCTGTGAGCGGACCAAGGGTGGGCTCAGGGCAGCAGTCAGAGGAAAACCAGAGCGATGGGAAAGGCCGGTGTAGAAAGACACCTGTGCAGAATCTCAACCCAGAGAATCTAGAAAGAAACCCCCAGGTTGGTACCCACGAGCCAGTTGAAGGTACTTCCCTCCACTCAATCTGGGGAGATGGAGAAACACACAAATAGTATGTGTGAAGGGCATCTTTCCCTGGAATCATATGGTTGGGGGCAGGTTGTAACCTCCCAGCCCAGAGGGAGACTGATTCCCAATGTCCTTCAGGGGCTGCAGACCCGGAGCCCAAGGAAAGAGGCCTGCACAACAGGTAACTCCTGCCCGCAGTGCCCCAGACTCCCACCCACCTGCCCCCACTATGCCCCCCTAACACCCTGTCTCCTCCCCAGCTCCAGCCCAGTCCCTGCCACCCAGGAGGAGAGCCTCTGTGAGAGGAAGGGGGCCGCCCTGGGGGTGGGCTGGGTGGGTCCGGCGTCGGGGGTGAGGATTGAATTCCCACATGCCCCTCAGCCCACTGCTGAAGCCCCGGGAGGGCAGACGCCCTATCTGGGAGCAGGGCGGTGTCTGCAGCCCCGAGAGGGGGCTCAGGGGGCCTTGCCAAGAGACACACCCCCTTCTGTCCCAGCAGACGCTTCCATGCAAGACATTCAGCCTGAGGAGGGGGTGGAGCTGGACCATCGGGTGAGACCCCCAGCCCTCGTGCAGACCCCAGGGCTCTTGTGGTGCCAAAGTGAATCCAGTGGACACTTCCGTGTCCTCACACCACCCAGTCTCAGTAGTGTCCCTCAGACGCCTTCACGCTCCTTGGGCACTCTGGGTCAGCCCACTGTGAAATCGTGGGGCCTCCTTTGTGCTCCCTTGTGTGGCTCCCCAACCACTATCTGACTTCTGGTTGTCGGGGTGCATGTCCATGTCTCAAGAGGGTGCATGAAGAAATGATTCTCCCACTGGTCACTAAGCCCCTTCATTCATTCAGCCAGCAAAAGACATAGGGAGCCCAGCATTTGCCAGGCCCCACCTAGTGCTGCCTGCATAGCTGTGAGCAAATCTGACCCATCCTCCGTGAGCTTGCCTTGTGGGTGGTAGACAATATGCACGGAAGTGGGCAGCATCCCCGAGAGCAACATGTGGCCAAGAAAAATAAAACAAAGGGAGGGGGTAGCAGGTGCAAAGGTCCTGAGGCAGCAACATGCTTTATCAGGAGCATGGCCCATGCAGCTGCAACCAAATGAGCAAGAAACACTGTCCGGAATAGAATCAGAGCCAGAGTACAAATCACACACCCCAAGGCTCAGGAAGCCCCTGCAGAGTTCACCAGGAAAGTGACCCAATGGGCAGGAAAGTTTGGAAGCATCGCTCTGGCAACCATGGGGAAAATTGTCTGAGGTGGTCAAGGGGAATCAAGGAGACAAACCTCCCCCTCACTGTCTGTCCGCAGCAGAACACACAAGATGAAGACCCCCAGGGACCAACGTACGCCCAGGTGAGCCGGTCAAGATCAAGACTCAGCTGGGGACTGGCCACTTCTCCTTCCCCCGTGTCGGAGGGACTGTTGGACTCAGAGGACAGACAAGCAGAGGAAGACAGGCAGACGGACTGTCAGGTGGGTCCCTTCTTCTCTGAGTTCCCA